ACAATGTCACAGACCATCAATGTACCAAGTTTCATTGAAATGTGATTAGAGCGAGATATCGATGGAAAAGCCGAATTTATGAATTATCATGCAAATTACGTAACTAAGATGCAGATTTAAACCAAAACTAAACAGGCATGTCAATTGTCCTAGAACATATATGTACCAAGTTTCATTGAAATGTAATGATTAGCACTTGAAATATCAACAGAAAAGCCAAAAATTTACTAATTATGCAAATTAGGTAATTAATACGCACAGATTTTTATTTAAAACTAATTAGGTAGTCCTAGAGCATCTATGTACCAATTAAATTTCATTGAAATGTAATGATTAGTACTTGAAATATCGACAGAAATGCCAAAAAGTTACTAATTATGCAAATTAGGTAATTAATATGCACATTTAATAACCCAAAACTTATCAGGTCTTCACATTGTCCAATGACATCTATGTACCAAGTTTCATTGTAATGAGATTAGTACTTGAAATATGTCAAAAAGCCGAAAATTGACTAATCATTATGTAAATAGGTAAATAATACACATGGATTTAGCCCAAAACCTAATCAAATCTGTGCATTAGCCCAGAGCATCTATGCATCAAGTTTCATCAAAAACCTTGAGATATCAATGAAACAGTCGGACAGACAGACATGATACAAAGTTTGAATGAACTCACCCTCTTCATTACTGAGAAGCAGCCCTGGGCATATTCAGTATCAGAATTTAGCAACGAAAATGAGGACGAAAATGGCCGCCAGTCAGTCATATTTGATCAAATGGTAATGAAAATTGATGTGCATCATACAGGGCCAGCATGTTAAGTTTGAATGGAATTAGTCAAATATGTCTGAAAATGACAATGATTAAACAAATCTATTTGTTTTTTCAGTGTTTCAACACCCGCTTGTTGTATTTATTAAAGAAGCCTGCAACAATCTCTTTAACGGACATACAAGCGCATGGTTGAATAAAAGGAACTGTGACAGTGAGAAAATAGAATGACACAACTTTAGTGAAAGTACTCATAGAGTACTAAAATATCTGAATATATCCAAATAGTGGGTGTATATAGTTGCCTAGTGACAACCATAAACAGAGTATTTATTTCATACACAAAATGTGATGACCCAACACCTCTTCACAATTTCACTGAAATTGACAATTAGAGAGTCAGTCGTTCAATTTCTGTGTAAATAATGTACTTTACATATGTTGCACCAGAGGTACATTACATGGGGTTTTCAACGCACATAGTATTGTACGGTGACATCGTGTCGAGATCCCATTCAAGTCTCATCTTGTAAATAGCGAGACTGATGCTACAACCTTCTTACATGACGTGTATGGCTTGTAATAGAACAATAAAACATGTCTCACCACTATCACAGTGAAAAAATGTAATACATCAAAAATGTACATAAAATATAGTTCACGTAATCCGTCATATCGTGAGCAGCTATTTTGATCCACCTGGACCTCCCAGTATCCTAGTTACCTTGGGCATGAGCATTTGCATTTTTCTGAGTTGGAACGCTTCTGCATGAGCGAGATTGAAACAGGATCTTGGTATCATGTCACGCTACTTGCAAACCTCAAGTAATGTACCTCTGGTTGCACACATTACGCAGTACGACGACTGTGGCACGTCAATTGAATGAATATCTATTGTGCACAATTATACAGATACTGTTTATAGTAACATTTTACAATTCTGTAAACCATCTCATTTCATTGCTAGGGATTTTTACGATCTGAAGAATTTATGACATTTGAGAAGTAAAAAATATCACCGACACCAGAGAAATGTTTACTACTACAAAACTTCAGCATTTCAACAGTTTAAGGTACCGGTATATAAATTTCAATTGGAAGAAGAAGCAAAAATATCTGAATTTCTGCAAATGTTGGCGCTTGCATAATTAATCAAACTTCAGATCGTCTCTGTAGAAGAAAATTCAGCAGGAGTTCCGCTGCACAGTATACCTTTCGCATAATTTGTACCATCTAATGAAGATGATGCAGAAATGAATGAACGCAATTTTATTCGTGGTGTGATTGGGTGTTGTAGGCATTCTTCATTTATAACATAGTGAATATATCACAAATACACTTTTTTTTAAATGGCAGATATCAGATTTAAACTGATAACTGGAACCTTTGTGGTTGTCGCATCACAGCAGGTTGAACGGCAAAAAGGATCGACCTCCCTACCCTGGGTGAGTGTAGCACAGACTTGATGGGAAGGACAATACCACTGGCTGAGATTCATTCACTAACGAACGCAACTTTGGGGGAACCTTGGTTAAGGTTCACAGGTGCTTAATTATGTTCGACCGGGCCTGGTTGATGCAAGGATAGTGTACAATAGCTCTGTCATGTAGCCAAAAGCATGAATAGAGCTCCAGTTGCAAAAGCACTATGTGTCAGCACTTGCCCTTGAGAGACAACTGTGACATTCAATGTTCAGAACTGGAACACACACAACAAAATTAAAAAAAGATTGGCAGTGTGAGCATATACCCAATGGTGCTTAGATTGTGAGTGGATAAGTAATTTTTATCACAATGATTTGTTTTTTTATAACAGGAAGTCAAGAACATAACGACTGACTTATGGGAGTACATTTACCACTATACCTGGCTTCATTAATGGAGTAAAAATTTGAGAGCAAGACAACAAATTTTCAAATACTCCTTTATGTATTGTTTCAGAATGAAATCATGAACACTATACTAAAACCATTGCAGCACAGAGTGACCCTTTAATATACAGATACATTATTTAAATAAAACGTAACATGTTCAATCACAGACTCCATGCTTACAATTTATTGTTTAAATCAGTACCCCACCACCCCTAGAATAGAACAAAACAATTCCTCTGTAATTTTACTGAAAAAAAATACAATTGCACACATTAAATATACAAATGTATGTAATAAATATTAAAGAGTACGAAAAAAAAAAACTTTTCTAGAAAACAGAAAAAATTTTATAAGATTGATGGCATCACATTAGTTGCCTAAATTCTGGTTTGTACTTTGAGATATGATCCTCCATGATAGATAGATACAACAAACCTGGCCGTATAATGCACACCTTGAATTGACGATGTGAAATGTCCACTCGGAAGGATATACCACTCGTTTATTCTGGACTTCAGATGTTAAAAGAAGTAAAGCGTTACAAAAGAGTGGTCTTCTGTATATACAAGTTATATAAATATAAATCGTGTAGAACTGTTTATGTGGAGGTTAGCCTCACAATAGAGGTAGTCAATAAATAGACAAATGATACAGCGTCTTGGTAAAACCTTTAATATAAAGTAACCATACTATAGTAGCCACCATAATTGTACTTGCATAAATCAGATCTCCGTTAGATGTATCTGCAAAAAATAATAATATTGCATTAAATAAATTCATGTTCATCTATACAGCAAGCAATGTTTTTTTAATTTATTATTCTATATTTGTTAGGATTTTTAATTTTTTAAAGCGGGAAGGTCGTCACCTACGCAGGCACGAGAATCGAGTCCCAAACAATGATAACAACACACGCTAAAAACGCAAAGGCTCATGGGTAGACGCTTGTTTGTAAACAATGACACACTACGGCCATCTGACGCATGCGCAGGTGACGACTCCCCCGCTTTAAACTCAATAGGATACTGTAATTTGGGAATGCACAGTGCCAGCTTACAGAAACATCTTTACATCCATCCGATTGGACGCCACTCGGCTGAATGTATATGCTGCTGGGTGCACAATATTTGACTACGCAAAATCGTCCTTGTAATGGAAAACATGATAACAGTTATCCTACACAAGCAGGGATTGGCAAGACCATCAATAATTTGGAGGGGAGTACATTCAGGTACGCCATACTGTCATGCTTCAACCACCCATCATTACCAAGGGTTTGGATAAAATAAAGTTTGTTGACCGAGCATGATAGACCGGAAATGAAGTAGATATGCCACTGTAAAGCGAGACATATTATACATATTAATTAGCTATAAGAAACAGACATGTATGTACCAACAATCATAAACAGACCATTTCAACTGTTTATAAAACATCTGTCATGAAGTAAAAGAGAAACATTTGCATACCGTAGAAGATGATAATATATATAAATTTATTCAATTTAAAATGTGCTGCCAGGTATGCCTCTCTGCTATACAAGAATAATATGAAATAGAAAATTGATTAACTAAATCAAAAAATTTAAATGAAATTATTGATTAAACTAAACTCTTATGTTCTTTAGAAACTGTCTATGTATATCCAATCAGTGCTAAGACGTCAGTTAACTTTTTATTATTATCTGGAAAACTTATGGATTTTCATTGAGATATTAACCCCTTGAGTGCAAAATATTTTTTTCACCCAAAATTCAGTGAAATATTTTCACATTTTGTAAAATTTTCACTAAATTTTATCATTATTTTGGACTATACAGGCAATTTCAATTATTGCATTTAGTTTTAGATCAGAAAGTTTGTCAATTTTTATCAATAATTTATGTTGTGAGAAGCAGACTACATGTATAGGAAATTTTGAAAAAAGGAATGAATTTTCCACACTGCCTTGCATTTGTTAAAAAATTAAACTGTAAGGCAACTTTAAGCAATCAAACAGTAAAATTAATTATTACAATTGAGTATGTAAATAAGTCAAATCCCGACCTTATTCATTATACGAATGACATTCAGTGAAACAACCAAACTGGACAGAAGCATTTCAAAAGAATTCATTTTTACTGTCACCAGATCATAGATGGGGCAGATAAATTAATGGAGTGAGCTATAAAAAAAAAAAAAAAATACACCACCAGCTTTGGTCTGATTGATTGCATAGACGACTTAACAATGAATCATTTATCATGCTAGCTGTGAAAAAGTAAGTTTAAAGGCTTGCAATAGTACTTAAAAATAAGCGTTTTATTGTCCTGGTGTTATATTATAAGCTAAATGTTAAATTAATTTTTCTGGATTAAGATCAAACTGATCAACGCAGCTGTGACCAAGCCAGTCATCAGGTAACTACGAGACATAACAATATATCACAAATCCTTGACTCCATATATCATCGTTTCAACTCAAAACGTGACTATATAAATTCGAAAAATGTGAAAAAGCCAATTGTTTTGGGCGGGGATAGAATGACTGAGAATGCGAAATGAGTTTGTTACTTGGACTTCAAAGTGTATGTCAAATTAAATTATATGTAGGAATGTCAGCTGGGATGGATAGAATCCCTAAAACCAATACCAAGGATAATCACATGACAATATTGTAAAGCTGTGACCTATGATTCACTTTCATTTTTGTAATTTGCAAGACCAAAAAAGGAGGATTTTCAAATTTTTAATTTCTGATCTAAAAAACAAACGGCCCCATAATGTTCAATTTTTATACTTTGTTTAAACAATATTTGTCAGTGCATGAACAAGATCCAGATCCGAATTGCTAAGGTGTTGAATTTTTAACATTGAAATGACTGTCATTAGGCCATTTTTAATACTATCATCAAATGAATACATGATCGAGTCTGGCTGTCAGTCGGCCATCCTTGATCCAATCGTAAAACAACTTGTCATAGACATGTATATACTAAATCTGAACAAAAACTGACAAAGCATGCATAAGATACCACATTTTCAAAAAATAAAATGGCTGCCAGTCAGCCATTTTTCATCTGATTGTAAAACAAATTATCATTGACATATACTGTAATCTAAAATGTACAATGACCAAGATCCGGATTCAAATTCTGTTGAATTTTTAACATTGAAATGATAAGGCCATTTTTAATACCATCATCAAATGATTACATGATGTGATCGAGTCTCATCCACTTTGGTACTACATAATAGATCTACAAGTTGGAGGAAACATTATTTTACTGGGGGATAGTTGGAGGTTTTCATCACAGCGAGACTTGCAAAGAAATAATCCTTACTGTTCAGAAGTCTGTATACTTGACTCGGGCCTTTAACAGGATACACCGAGTGAAAATGTGTCCTGATAGTTTTGAGATGAAGTTTTTTCACAGTTCAGAGTATTTTTTGACCCCGTAATGTTAGCTAAATCATTTTGACTGGTCATTATTATTGAGTGACAATGCATTTTGCTTATTTTCCTCTGAGGCCAGGAGATTAGCTAAATGGTTTCAGACAACAAACCAAATACATTGTAAAAAAGAAAATAATTCATTATAAATTAAAAAAAAAAAAATTAGAGATTGAGATCTACAAAAACACAGGTTCTGTAACGTACACATTGCAACTTATGCAAATTAAAAAGCTTTTTCAAAGAAGTATTACAGCTTTAACATCCCAAAGGAGGATGTTGTAAAGAGATAATATTGAGACTCAGAGATGGATGGTAAATGAAGCATTATAAATTATATTGCTGCCAAGTGGCTGTCAAAACAGAGGTTAATCAAAAAGCAGAAAGGGGTTATAATTGGATTATGTAACTTCATGTCGTTGTTCTATACAGTGATATGCACCCCTCCATCAAATCATCTGCAGATATCGATATTAAACAAAGCAAAACACTTGATTCCCCGTCTCATGTGAAAGTATAATTTCAAAATTCTGTAACTGATTTAAATTAGTACTGAAAAACCGTTCAATTTTTAATGCTAGGAATTGTCACAATTTAAAGATTTGATGGCATTCGAGAGAAACAAAAAATCACTGACATTCCGTGTCAAAGGTTCTAGCGAAATTATCAATTTGTGATAATTTGTATATTGCGAATTTAAAGCATACAATTCAGTTTGTTGTTCATATAAATAATTTGACCAAAAAAAATGGTCGCTTAATTCAATTTTATAAAATGTCCACTTTTTCTTAAAATAGAGATATACAGTATTTGCTCTATAAGAAGTGCACATTAATAGAAAGGGATATACAATTAAAGCAAATAGAGTAAACATATACTGCAAACTAATAAATAAGAGGCTATTTGAATATTTGCTCAAAAATTGACAAACTATTTGCATGCATTTTGCATTACAATTTGCATACAACACACAATTTGGATTCATTTACATACATACATAGAAAGGGATATACATATCCCAAAAATTGCATTTATTATATACTGAATTGTTAAGATACTTAAAACTTATACTACAAATAAAGCAAATAGAGTAACCATATACTGGTTATAAACGAATGAGTAATACCACACATAGTTTGAGGTTGACTTGGACGACTGTCAAAAAATAACTTGAGAATCTTTAAATGCAGGCTGGGTGTAATTATAAGTCAGCACTATGTTAAAAATCTCAAATATTTGCAACTGGTGAGTTTAAAATGTGTGATTATTTTAACAGAATGCAAAGCAGCATTCAACAGTCAGACATATTAGGAGTGAGCAGAATGACTTGCATATCAGTCAAAATCACGGCTAATATCTTCCGACTGTGATTTTATATATTTGTAAGTTATCCTGCAATGTACCGATAATCAAAATTTAAAATACAAAAATTTTAAGTTCATTTACACTGCTGCGGTGTCACACATTGAGGAAGTTGAAAAATGTTTGGTAGTATTTTCTGCAGGCTGGGTGCTTGGAGTAAAATGAGCTGTTAATATTACTGTGATATACATGTACCACATTTTATTGTAAATTAATACTCAGTTAACAAGATGCAGTTGATTTTTAAGTGGTACTACAAACTAATAAATAAGAGGCTATTTGAATATTTGCTCAAAAATTGACAAACTATTTGCATGCATTTTACATTACAATTTGCATACAACACACAATTTGGATTCATTTACATACAATTTGCATACAACACACAATTTAAATTCATTTACATACAATTTGCATACAACACACAATTTGGATTCATTTACATACAACACACAATTTGGATTCATTTACATACAATTTGCATACAACACACAATTTGGATTCATTTACATACAATTTGCATACAACACACAATTTGGATTCATTTACATACAATTTGCATACAACACACAATTTGAATTCATTTACATACAATTTGCATACAACACACAATTTGGATTCATTTACATACAACACACAATTTGGATTCATTTACATACAATTTGCATACAACACACAATTTGGATTCATTTACATACAACACACAATTTGGATTCATTTACATACAATTTGCATACAACACACAATTTGGATTCATTTACATACAACACACAATTTGGATTCATTTACATACAATTTGCATACAACACACAATTTGGATTCATTTACATACAATTTGGATTCACTTACAGTTTGTAGTCAATTACATACAATTTGCATACAACACACAATTTGAATTCATTTACATACAATTTGCATACAACACACAATTTGGATTCATTTACATACAA